AAAAGCAGCAGGCGAACGACCAAAAGTCGGAAGCAATTCAACGGAACTTGCAAACGCAACAAATTCCTTATCTGCACAGTCCTGCGGAGAGACCAACACAACCGCGCTCACGGCACACAGGAGGACAGAGCAAAGCACCAGTGAAACTTCTGTTCAGGAACGCTTAATAATGCCATGCAACACGACTGAAATACACAAACCAAAAAACGATTAATTGCCGGCCACCTAACGGCCGGCTTAAAAGCGAACACAAACTTGACATCTATCAATGAACTCCTAACAACAAAAGCCCTATCTTGCATGTATACAAACGCCCAAGGCCTTCTAAGCAAGTTGGCCGAACTTAGAGAACTCCATGCCTCACAACCGTGGGACCTCGTCATGATTACAGAGACATGGTTAAACCCTGAGATAACCGATTCTGAGGTCAATTTACCCGGTATGTCACTGCTTCGGACCGATAGAACCGGAAGGGGGGCGGTGTGATTCTTTATTATAATACAAACCTCCGATGTGAAGTTATCGACCACCCGGAAATCCGAGCTCCCGATTCGCTTTGGTGCCGCCTATGGTTGCGAAACAAGGACACATGCCTACTAGCCGTGATTTATCGCCCACCAAACTCAACTTCGGAAATGGACTCCAAACTGAACCACGTTTTCCAGTTTGCTTTGAACAAGTCCTACACCCACATTCTTATCGCGGGAGACTTTAACGTGCATGACATAGAAACGCCGGCAACCGACGGTATGCAGTTTAAAGCCTGCTTGCAAGAGCTTATTGCTAGCCACCCTCTTTACAACCACGTAACCTCTCCCACCAGATTTCGAACTGCTAACAAGCCGTCGATACTGGATCTTGTGCTCACTAACGAAGAACTCATGGTTAGCGGGATAGTTACAAGCACACCACTGGGTCGTAGTGATCATGTTACTCTACTCTTTGACTATATTTGCTATGCGGAGTACCCTGAAAAGGAGGAGGATAAAGTGCATACTGTCACACACTACAATGTGTTGTCTAAGCTTGTTAAGGATACATCTTGGACTTTCTTAACCGAATGCCCCCCAGATGTTGCCTGGGAAACATTTACAAGGACGTTTAGTACACTGGTAGCGCACGCATCAGAGCAGAAGTCCTTCCAACCTAAAACAAGCGTAATTCATTTCTGAGGAGCAGGACACGTAAATGTATGTCCCGGAGGGATTTGGCATGGCGAGATCACCAGGACTGCCCGAATGCCGAAACCTGGACTGCATACGTGACCCATCGTAACTTCTGTGTGAAACTGATCCGCGAAGACAAGGTCACTCATCAGCAGAAGTTAATGAAGCGATTCTGCACGAATCGCAAACTCCTGTACAGGCACGTTAACGGCCTTCGAAAGGTAAAGCGAGGGGTTCCAGCACTAGTCACGGCTGATGGGTGCACGCGATCAGCAATGGAAGCAGCTGATCTCCTACGGCTTCATTACTCCCAAACTTTCCAGGAGGTAACGAGCACAAACATTCTCCTCATTTCTACTACTCCACCATCTGGTTTAGAAAACATCACCTTCACTGCGGAAGCTGTGTTGAAGAAGTTGTTATGCTTGCGTATCCACAGTTCTCCCGGAGCTGACAACATCCGACCAAAGGCTCTACAGGCAGTAGCTAGTGATCTAGCAGCACCACTGGCTATTTTCTATCAGCGATGTCTAGAGGAGAACCGTATTCCACCAGTATGGAAGCGAGGGGTCATCACTCCTATTCATAAAGGAGGTAGCCGCACTGATCCTGCCAACTACCGTCCAATAACACTACTTCCAGTACTATCCAAAGTGATGGAATCAATCATCGCAGATGCGCTGATGGAATACCTGGAAAGCCACAATTTAATAGCCCCAGAGCAACATGGCTTTCGTCAAAAGCATTCGTGTAATACTAACCTATTAATTGCACGTAATAGCTGGACTGAAGCTGTTGATGATGGAGTAGGAGTCGATGTCATCTACCTGGACTTTTCAAAAGCATTTGATCGCTTAAACCATCGCATTCTCCTTCACAAGCTTCGGAATTACGGCATTGGCGACCCAATCCTGAGTTGGATTGACAATTTTCTACAAGAACGACGGCTAGTGGTGAGAGTCCGAGAATCATTGTCTGATGCAATCGATGTGGCGTGCGGAGTACCACAAGGCTCGGTTCTTGGACCTCGTCTATTCTTGGTGTTCATTAACGATTTGGCGAGATCAATTACTTCCGATTTCCTATTTTTCGCTGATGATATCAAGATATGGCGAAGCATCAGAGGACCGGAAGACCATGAACGGCTCCAGTGCGATCTTAACACAGTGTCGAACCAGTCGCTTCAAAACGCCCTACCGTTCAATGTAGACAAATGTCGCGTCGTACAATTACGCCATAGTCATAACTACACCTATTCACTTGGGACCAACGGACTGCAGAATAGCTCCCAGGAACGTGACCTGGGTGTGATCGTACAGAGCGACCTCAACTGTTCAAAACAGGCTGAGGTAGCTGCGAAAAGAGGCAACCAGCATGTCGGCATGCTGCGAAGAGCATTCGGGAGATTTGACCCATCAATCTTCCCAATGATGCACAATTCCTACGTGCGCCCGCATGTTGAATACGCTATCCAAGCTTGGCAACCTTGGTTGAAGCGCGACCTAGAAGCGATAGAGACACCACAACGGAGAGCAACAAAGAATGTGCAGGGTCTGCGCTATCACTCTTACCACCGAAGGCTGAAGTTGCTGGGAATTTTCAGCGGGCGCTATCGAAGACTGCGCGGTGATCTCATATTAGCGTATCAAATATTGAGTGACCCCAACCACGTATGCCGCCATTTGCTGAAACTTAGCCACAACACGCAGCTCAGGGGTAACTGCTTAAAGTTGAAGGAACAATACAGCCGTCTAGAGTGTCGACGGAATTACTTTTCCCTTCGGGTTTGCAACCTTGGAACGCACTCCCAGACTCAGTTGTATCCTCTCCTACCTTGGATGTTTTCAAAAAACGATTAGATGTTGCTCTTAGCTCCCAACATTTTGTTACCTAAACTCCCCTACTGTGGATTACGCCAAGGATGCATTTTAACAGGATTTATGTATCAAATGGACCTAAGTGAGCGACCATATTTTACTTTTCTCACTCCTTACCTCAATGATCACTGCACCCCAGTGTCTTTCTGAACGTTTACGCTCGATTATTTATTTTAATTTTACACTGATGTTACTTATCAAACTATTCATCTTGGCAGACGTTCGATAGATGACCCAGACATATTTTGATTTCATCATATTCACCTCAACCATCCTACGGGACGTGTCAAGCACTTGCTTTTATCCCGTGATAAATCATTGTTCATTGTTCAAGAAACCCTTTTGCTGTAGGAACGGTAAGCTCTTTGTAATTTTAGTAGAAACACATTTGCTTTAGCTTTTAGAACTGCATCAAACCATCGGTGTATCTGAGTCAAACATTTCCAACCAATTACCTTATTTGGCACTGTCTACAGGTCCGTTTGTCCATCACATCTACAATAAACAATGAAAGCTTTTTGTGTGGAGGAACGCTAATTACTCCGCATTGGATTTTAACCGCTGCACACTGTTTCTTCGAAGAGACCGGGGAGAAACTATTGAACGGATCGGATTTTCAGAAAACAAATGTCAACCGTCTGGTATTCGCACATTTAGGAGATCATCACTTAACCGAAACAGAATTGACTTAAAGCAATCACCTGGTGAAGGATATCATATTACATCCGTCGTTTCACCCGGAGCTAAATTACAACGGTGCTGACATCACATTGGTCTACATGGCAGAGCCAGTTAAACTGCGTAAGTATCACATGGTACACTGAGATGGTGTTTCAATAGTCACTCGTTTGTCAAGCTATTTATGTCGCAATTACTTAGATGTTTAAGGCTCCAATATACACAAGCGTAGCAAAGTTGGCTGCAGCGAATATAATATTTCTATTTGCCTATCTTTATTGCGAATTCCAGTGTGTTTTGAGCAAAACCGGGATTTTTTACTTATACTTCAATTTGAAGAGTCATCGAGAATAGGTGCAGAATAAGTTGCTGCCTAAACAGGGCAAACATTTTGTGCGATAGCTTTTGGATGACAAATTCAATGGTCTCATAGAATAGGAAATATTTTTGCAAAGCAATTTGATTAAGTCTGTGTTGGTTTTTGTCAGGAGTTGATGGTATGATTAGTGAACATTTTGTTATCTGATTGCTTTCGAGTATACAGAAAAGCCATCATTTGATTTAGTTGTTCTACTTATACGGCTTACATTGGTGTTTGCTTCTACGTTATAAATATTCCATACTTCCAGGAAAGCTGGGTCGTTGTAATGAATCAAAATGTTTTTCCTACTTAATATCCTCATATTAGGCTTATTTGCCTTCGCGCATTACTAAATGTATGATACGCAACCTAATCCCATAAACAGCAAGACATCACCTGCCGTCCAGTTAGCAGCGGGCTTAGATTGAAAACAAGACTAAGCCTATCTGAGCACAATGGTCGTAGGTAAGAGCACATGGTTAGCACTCACCTGATTCATGAAATAACAAATATGAATCATCTAACCCATTGTTTAAAATGCCGTGCATATATGGACAGCAGAACACTACGCAACATTTGTTATACGTTTATTTAAAGTAAAATGAAAAAGTAAGGCAGTAGGTGACTGAATTGGATAGCAGATCCCAGGCATTGTATTACCGATTAAAGCCGACAATATGAGAGCACGATCAGCATGGTTATTCATTTTAACGGAAAAGGTGCGGTGTACCGTTTTGTCCCACGTTACAGTCTCAAAGCTTTATAATATAAAGGAAGTATTTACCAGTCTCTCACCATCAGAAACGATTTAGCCTTGAGGTATGGGTCGGTCTAGCCTTAACCATGTGTTTAGAAATTTTCATACAGATGTGTCACATATATACCGAAATAAATTTAGCAATCTGAAACAATTCTTAGATGCCGCACATATCTACATTCAACTTAGCGAGTTCCACATCTGCGAAGGTGAAATGTTGCTCAAGTGGTGTAACATTTTCTTCCTCAGGGCCAGAAGTAACTCGTGCCTGCCTGCCAAATAGGCGAACCATTCTCAAGCCCGGAACGAAATGCTACGCGGTGGGATGGGGCGAAATAAACTCTCAGATTGACGCCGGATCAAATAACACTCAGGGATCATCATTATTTACATCAAGACAATCAGAATTCGGACGTGAATCGCGTCAAACAAAAGAGGATATTATGGAAGTGGTTGAAATGCATGAAGTCAGCCTAACCGTATTAAGTTCCAACAAATGCCGAGCATACAACAATGATCTGCAGGAGGAGACCACCATTTGCGCAGGTTCCGTTGGCAAAGTATGTTTAATCCAAAAGGTTGCATAACCATGGGTGCTATTGAATCGATTTGAGCAATGGATTTAATATATGTGTTTACACTGTGATTTCGCTTGATTATTTTGTTGCTGGCTTCAGGTATTCTCAGGAGGACAATTGCTTTAGTAATATTCCGAAAAGCACAAACAGAGCGATGCAATATCTTGACAAATAATTGAGTTGGAATAAAACAAAATATATGATTTTAGGATTCTAATCAAACGTGGATGTGGGTAATGTAAGAGCAAACACTATATTGCAACTTGGAAACTGGCATATCAAAAAGCAGTGATTAAAAGGATTTGTTTATAAAGCATAGCCAATACCTAAATGTCGCACTAGTAGTCTACACATTTGTTGAAACTCCGTGTGTATAACTGTTCATGCGAACGTTCGTTTAATTTTACCTTTAGAAATTAGCTGTTTTAGATGCATATTAAGCCGGTCCTCTATGAGACGTTAGTCACTTTCTGTGAAATGTAACCAATGAAATATCATTGGACAGCATTAAAAATTACTGCTCGTACGGGAGCTGTGAAACTTGTGGCCTAAGAATTCATATGAAAATTAAAACACTTTATTAACGTTCGCAACTAGGTATATTCTGACGTGTTTTGTTACATTTTTCTTCCGTATTATGACAAAGACATCACTACGTTGATATATGCGTATTGATTTCATCTCCGGTTGATTCATCCAAATGGAGGATCGTACCACGTATTTTCTCACAGTTTCGAACCTATACAAATTATTTCAACCAACATTTCTCACATTCAGCAATGAAGTACATCTGTTAAATAATGGCACCACGAATAATAATTTAAGCATGTTCTATTGCTTTTTACTATTTTCTATATATACTTGGAATTTTGCATTCGTGAATTTTGGTGTATGCCCAATTGAACTCAACTCATTATAATTTGTTTAACGAAGGAACCTGGGAAGCATTACAATAGAACTGAAGCGTAAGGCCTTTAATCATCATGATACTTGCTGTTTTATGTCTTATATGCCAGCGTAAATGGGTTAGTCTGGGAAGACCCATGTTTCATCTCGTCGCCTAATAACCTTGTACACAGCAGGAAACATAGTGGGAGATTTCAATCTGCTTTACTTTTCCTTCCGTCTATCCATGTATTTATCCATGATTACATTACGTTGCTTGAGATCTGAAAACTCTATATGAGTCAACAAATCTCCTGCACTCTCTAATAATGTACACTGCGTATGATTATTTTCTTTTGTGCGGATCATTTTAGTGTTTTGACTTAGGGCATATAAATGAAAGATTAGCAGAATATGGACTTTTATCACACGGAAAGGCAAATCCAGAAACTGAAAGTGCCATCTGCAACGAGGGGAATAAAAAGGATACAGGGATCATTCAAATAATGGATCCAAACAACAATTTCACCGGAACGTAGCAAGAGCCGTTCAATGTACTAGGTAGTGGAACGTCTTTCTTTTATTTTAACCCTGATATAATTCTTCATAGTTGTCCTGCACTACCTACAGCATTACGCATTGCTAATCAACCTGAAATATTCCCTGCATTAAATCTTGCAGGACACATGCTACGGCGACAGCGGTGGCGGCCTATACTGTCGACTGCCTAATTCTAAAATCTGGTACATCGCTGGCGTGACAAGTTTCGGAGACCCCCGATGGATGCGGAAAACTTCCAGGAATCTACACATCCGTCATTGCACATACAGGCTGGGTTCAGCGAATAATCAGAAACTTGACATAGAAATTGTGGCGTTGTGCAACAAATGTATTGATAATGTACTTCATTTCTTAACTAACACATTCTCCATTTCAATGTAAATTCGGTTTGTATGTCAGGGTTTCTTAGTTCAATTGTCGCATTTTTGGGAACATCTGCCACAGTTTTCTGTCGAACTTCGTGAAATCATTTGCTACTATGTTGATAGGAAGATCACTATTTTCAACTGGTCGATGTCGCTTGAATACATCTGGCTTTGAGGTATCATGAGTTAGGCCGGACAGCCCAATTGCTCTGCATTTGCTTGGGGTGCGGAACGTATAACGATATGTAGTTTTTAATCACAGCGAAAACGCTTCGATTATTGAAATTGTATACACAATTTCCAACATGCGACTAGGTTTCATACTCCCCAATGTGCTTCATTCAAGGGAAGCATGGGCCAAGCAGCTGAAAAAGAGTCTCAATATATGCGTTATACTTATGCCGCCCCGTAAACTTGAGGAGCACAAGCACTCTGGGTAATCAGATGGCATCGCTTCGAACGTTCGTAGTGACCGGGTGACCCTCGCATTCTCCTCAGCCTACGTGCGACAGCTGGTGGCGGCATTGGATTATTGGCACGGCATACCGGCGTACTGCTGGTGCCTTCTGAATTCACTAATAATATTTAAGCATTTCGACAGGATCAATCACCTACTTTGTCTCCGCATACTTATTGCAAAAAGTAACAACAGTTTCCTGTTCATTTTTTGGATGGTAACCTACACGACAGAACAATCCATGTATGAACAGTCGGAACTCACGTAGAAAGAATGTGCGTCTCTAGTCTTGTATCTCAAGTATCCGCTTTTAGCCATTCAGTTTTTATGTTCATCATCAATGTCCTCCCATTTAACATTATATTGCATGCATATATTGACAAATAGTACTTGAACACTTTTAGACATTCGTTAAGCATCCGTCTCTGCTTATGTCCAGAACCATCTGGATCGAATTAACGAATGAGCAATAAAGAATCAGCTTCCATTGGAAACTCCACTATGAAAATTGATGAGAATTCGCCTCAGCTTCAGCAACACATTGCTATCAATACTACACGTATTTTAACAAGTTAAGTGTGTGTTCGCCTTATGTATTATCCTTGAGATAGGCCATCTATTTTAGTTTACTTCCGTATCTCACAGTCGATTACATGTGAAATTAATCTAACTTGGAAGACTGGATGCAGTCGACTGGTTTGTTTCCTGTCATGGGCTATCATGTAGACATGAGAACCCCGAAGTTTGTTTGATCGAATAAGTATGGAATACGAAATAGGATGAAAACCAAGAAGAACGGTCCCGTGTGTTGATTCTGTTCAAATCCCACGTGGACATGGAAACGGCAAGGAAGACCTGGTCCAGTACTAGAGGCAGTTAAGCTGACCGAAATGATTGCAACACCTCCGTATTCGTCATAACTTACCTAAAACGCATATGAATACGAAATTGTCTACGCCCATTGCGTTCAGAATTCGTGTGAATGTATCCAGTGTAAGATTCCTTTGTATTTCTTTCTCAATCTTTGTAGGCTCTTTAGACTGCAGCACGGATTCTGGCAGTTTGTTAGATATCTAGGAATTCTATACATCTGTAATAAGTTCTCCCTTGTCATTATGCAAATATGCTTTATTGAATATTTCCTAATTGGTTACTTTTTACCTTCAACTATGTCTGGCTATCTAGGTCAAAAGCGCAGAATGGATGGTGACTCGAAAATGATGAGAGGTTATATACGATCCTCCACAACCATATGGTTGAGGCAAATAATCTAATAATTGGCCCAGTAAGCTACCCTGGATTTCCGCACTGCTAACTGTCACACAGTTTGATAGAAAAATAGCGTTTTATACTATTCGTTTCCGATCAGATCTAAACTTCTAGTTCCAATAGATGTATTATTATCCAATATTTTGCATGTGCACCAGCTCAAAGGTTTTACTCATATCCAGGGATACTATGACAATTACTTTACTAGAGTCAGTTTCCATTGTCATATTCTTAGGAAATCTGTTTAACAGAACACATAGGACTTTATAAATTTATGCTGCGACCTACTGATTTCGTTCTTCTAGACTTAAGCGAAAGGTGATCCAGAATCTCACCATTTCCTCAATGTCTTGGAGGCGATAAGCGTGTGATTTATAGGGCGATATTTTTCCATTCTTATGAAGCCGCATCCTTGCGCCGCGGATGTTTTATGGCTCCCCTCCACTACCTTGGCAAATGATCGCATCTGATGAAAAGTGTCAGAATGTGCATATTCTGGCCTCGTAATTTAACCAGCACCTGTGGGAAATCATCGAGACACTAAAAGCTGGAGGGCTTCAAACGCGGGATGAGAAGGGAAATTGTCCTGTTATCGTAGTCTACATCAAGAGAAGGAACGAATTGGCGAAATTCAAAATACAACTATTTTATGGCTGTTACCTTAGCTTATGATTTCTTAAAGACTAAACTCAATGCTTTGCACACACCAACGGTTATTAGCTTAGGTGATATCAGATAAAAGTATGACGAATAAGTTGTGCTGTAGCTCCTTGCTCGAAAACATTCATAAACGCCTTGGATTTCGTTAGAGGCTATCAGTTCGTTGTCCCGCTCAGTTAAATCGTGGTAGCTATTCTTAAGCCCGATACATTCCATGCTATTTGTTTCATAAATCCTCAAAGAGAAATTTTATGTACGCCTGAATTTTTGATGGATTTGGTACAATATTCGCAGTGGGTTATTCACAGTTCCCCTACTTTTCCGTTGTTTACAGCACTCCGTATGCGATGGAGAAAATATCTCGTAGAAATCGTGTGTATTTCCACAGAAGCAGTTTATGCTTCTTAACGAACATACAGACATAAATAATTCGTCCCTATTCATAAATCGTACTGAGACCATAGCGGCCTCCTAATCAATTAAACTTAACTAGCAAAAACCCTCATCTTCTAGTAAACATGTAAGTTTTATTCAGGACAACAGATTATAACCCGTTGATCACCTTCAGCAGGTAATTACAGTAGGTTTATCCTGGATAAGATAATCCCAGGCGGAAAATATAACACTGAACTGTTTCATCCTCACTTGGGGGAGACAGAGCGTGTTTTTACTGACACGAAACTTACGCAAGTGAGATAAACAGGTACCTGCCTGTCGATGTTTTATCCTCTCGGTTTTTCTGCCGTATGTTGAAAGCTACATGGGAGGAGCTTATATCCAAAGTACCACTCAGTATTTCTCTCTAAAGTGTTTAATAATCTAAATATTTACCCTCAGTATGAGATTGGTGGATCATAAACGCAGCCTAGGAGAAGCTGCTGGTGTTTTATTGTTATGTTGACCAAAAATGGAAGTCCCCAAGAAATTAAACACTGCGTACTAATATCACACTACTATTACGCCGCCTCCGCTAAAACTTTGCCGTTTTTCTTCACAATATGGTTGTATTCGTTAAGTGACATATTCATCTGGAGTAACATCAGTGCACCTCGAAGCACTGATGAATATAATGTCAGTATTCAGTGACACGATGATGGGTCAAATCATGGTCATCTGGAATGTTAATGAGCGAAAGTTTTTCCGAATAACAGAAAATGCGCTTGTGATGTAGGCTTGTGATGGTAATTGCTAATACTCTTGTAGAGCTTGCGCTGTTGCCTCTAGCTCAGAAACATTCTAAAAAGCGATAGCTTGCCAGTTGATTCTAAGATTAGACCTGGCTAGGGGAAAAGTTTTTGTTGATCTATCTCTCTGTTCGTTGGTGTGGTCAAGTTTTGCTGAATTTGACCACATTAAATTTTGCTTCACATCGGCCGTGCAAACCACCAATTGCCAGCGTTGCGACATCAGCCATAGGATACGTTTCGGAGACTAGGGGACCAGTATTAGCTCTGAAGAGTTTACTACACGTGCTTGGAGTATCTTTGGTCAAAAAGGGAAATATATATCCCAGTTTCTGTAGCAGTTAGGTGACCTCGAAGAACAGAACCTTGATGTTTAGGTTAGGATTTTCTAATGGACAACTGCTTGCAACTCGGTTTGTGCCTACTTGGTAATCTCGCCTTTAATCATATATTATGAAAATGGTACTTATAATTTTCCTCAATCGAGAGGCTATGGCTTTAACCGGTATGTAGCATATAAGTACTGGTAGTGCCAAAGGCATTCATGGGGAAACTGAAATGACGTCCATATATTTGTCAGTCATCCTGTCTAGGCATTTGTCCCATTTGTTTTCGGTTCTTGCACAGATAGAACGCACTACGTTGTCAGATATTTTACAAACATTGAGGACGAAATACGTTGCGTAACCGTGTGGTATCACACCAAATATACGCTAACTGATTTTCCATTAAATTTATCCCCCATTGTTGTTCCCCACGAAAAGGAGGGTGTAACGCTGTACAGATTGAGCTATCTTCCTAAATTAATGCGGAATGATTGCAGAGTATCACACGACCTGATTGTGATTGGGTGCTAATTCCACAGAGAAGCATATCCAGTTAGGAAGACGTTAAACTGCCAAAATTACTGCATGATGTTATACACAGCTCAGCGAGAAATTTTTTTCCATGTTTCTCATCAGGATAATACATACATAAAACTGGTTAAAATCACGATAGTCTACAATGGCAAGTTTAATTTTGGTCAGGTCCAAACCAGCTGAATTGGGATTCGATCATACGCAATATATTCTAAGAGCTAAGCTCATACGTATACACACATGTTTACGGTACCCAAGAGGAGTGAAATGCGTCTACACATGATGGCCGAGACCATTTCGATCCGGCTGATGCAACCGGAATTATGCAAGCAGATGATGTTAGTTCAAAGGCGCCATTTATCCTGGCCATAATTCTACTGTGACTCGCCGTTCTCTTCCAACTCCGAAAGTGACAATTTCTTCCCATCAGACAGTTGAACCGTGGTGTGATGTATTGTGAACATTTGTGTATACGCGTAAACTTACCCTATAAATTGATTACCATGGATCAAATACCAAGGCAGTCTGTTTGGACTTGACAAACTTAGACTTGCCGTTGTAACTTATCACGATTTTGACCATTTAT